TTTTTTTTTTTTTTTTTTAATGCTAAAAATGGTATTCAGAACAAGGTCTCTGCCAGCCAGGGCTGAAAACATTCTCCACGAACACAAACTCTGCAAGAGTTTTGCTAACGACAACACTGCGAATCGCGATCTTGTGGCAGTGAGTCCCCAAAAGGCTCAGTTTTACACTCTTTTGAACTCCAGGCTTAACGTGCGTTTCATACCAAAGGCTTTTAAACTCTCTTTTTCGTGCAGCTTCTCTTTTAGGATTTCGTGCGGTCGCCGGGCCTCACAAAGAGAGCTCAGAAGCAAGGCTAGCTCTGCAGAGCGCGTACAGAGGAATACCCGCAGATGGTAGCAGGGCCTGTAGCTGGCAGAGAGGCTTTGTTTATTCATGACCCAGCTTGCAATGGCTGGCGCTGCGTCTCCATCACCACTTTATTCTTTTGCGCAAGGGTGGGACGGCAGAGCGGCATTCCAGACCGCTGCAGGCTCTCCGTGAGCTGGCTCGCTCCTGCGACCGGAGCGGCAGCTCTGCGACCCAAACGCGTTGCCTTCGTCACGAAGCTTCAATAAACGGCTCTTATCTCCCAGGAGCTCAACTCCGGGCTGCATCTTCAATCTCCTCGGTTTGTAAAAGGCTCTTCCAGGCCATAGCATGGCCCAGGAAAGTCTGTGCTCACCCCAATGCGCTGGATTTACCAGGAAAGGGCAGCCCCCACTTATGCATGGCAGCAAAGGTGCTGATATAGGGCTAAGAAAATTCACCCTTGGCCAGCTTGGCCTTTCACCACCACCCGAACGAAGCGTGTAGAAAGCTTAGAGGAAAGAGATGCAATCGAAAAACCTTGTTCCACTAAATAATTAGCCTGCATTAACATTGGGTTTAGGCCGGGTGAAACCACACTATGCTGGAGTTGTTTAAGGTACCGAATTAATCATGTTTTAAAAAACAAACGCCAAACTTTGGCGTGCGTTAAAATACAGAACGCACTATATAAAGACTTCTGCACCGCTAACTTCTACACCATCATATGTCCAACTAAGTACATCAAGGAGGTTAAGGGGGAAAAAAAAAGGCAAGAAACCTCTTGGAAGATTATGAGATTGAACTTCAGAGAAATAGTTAAGCCAAACTTCTCCCACGAGCCAAAATAACTGCAGCAAAACCCCACTGTAAATATCAGCTCTAAAGAGAGAGAAAACATTGGAGTACATGAACATCAACCAACGACCTCGAGAGAAACCCCTGTGGGCCAGTTCCACGAGTTACCCACCCGCACATGCATCTGCTGGAGAAAGGCTAAGGCCACGGACCCGCTTCCAGACACGGCTTGGCCAGACAGCAGCGTCGCCTCCAAACTCTTGCTCCCACTGGCCGAGTGTCACTTCGCCTGCCTTCATCCCTTACCCTTTATCAAACCTGAATGAGACTACACACAGCTGAGTCTTAACCTTTGCAACATGCACAAGGTGACAAAAAGAAGCGGGGAAAGAGCAGAATTAGGAGACACTGAACCATTGGGGATTTCAAATGACACGACATAAGAATTCACCAGCCACACAAAAAGATGGTACACATATTGTGATGAGACGGTTCACTGTCGTATGGCTGATTAAAACCTCAGTTTAAATTGAAAAGGAAGAGAGGCTATAAATGTGCTTTTGTTTTATTCTCTATAGGCAGCTTCCTACATACCTCCGTACCAAACAGCTACTGCTTTCTAGCTCCCCAGGGAAGCCCAGTACCTTTGTTTGTATCTCTGCTCAGCCTACATTGCTCAGCATTCGCCCATTGTACTACAAGTTCCTTCAAATCAAAAAGGAGAAACAGAATTGCTTTAAAAGGGATTTGGGGGGGGG